GCGCGCCAGGCAGAGCGAGAGCGCGTCCACGCGCGGTGTCGAGAGACGGGCCGTGAACGCCCCTGAGTCCAGATTCAGACCTAGAAAGGTTATTTTCTGGGAGGGGAGTAAAGCGCTTTTCTGCCAGTTTATTCTGAAACCCAGACCACACAAGTGATGGATCACAACCAGCGTGTTTGACGCTGCCTCCTCTCTGGACCGTGCCAGCAGGAGCCAGTCGTCTAAATACGTGGCCAGCCGAATGCCCCTCCCTCTCAGAGGGGCGATCGCCGCCTCCGTACACCTGACAAACACCCTCGGGCTCAGCGAGAGGCCGAATGGGAGCACGGTGTATTCATAACACACTCCCTGAAAGGCAAACCTCAGAAATTTCCTGTGTGGAGGGTACACGGGAATATGAAAGTATGCGTCCCTCAGGTCGATTGAGGTGAACCAGTCGTTCTGGTGAATCAGACGCAAAAGGGATGAGAGCGTGAGCATTTTGAATCTGTACTTTCTGAGGCATCGGTTCAGGGCCCTCAGATCCAGGATCGGGCGAATCCCGGTCCCTCCCCGTTTCGGGACCAGGAAGTACCTGGAGTAGAAACCGCTCTGAGACCGATCGGGAGGCACAATGCATATCGCTCCCTTCTCCAGCAGGGAGGAGATTTCTCCCTGAAGGATGTGAGCTGACGTCCCCTGGGCGTGGGAGAACACTACGCCGGAGAATCGAGGAGGAACAGAAGCGAATTGGAGCCTGTAACCTCTCGAAATAGTCCTCAGCACCCAATGTGAAGCAGAAACCGCTGTCCATTCCTCCATGTGAGTGGAGAGCGGTGACACAGCCGTGACACACGGAGCAGCAGCTCCCTCCAGAGGTTGTGGGGCAGCGGTGCTCGTGGCAACCACTGCGCATGCGCGGGGGCTTTGTGCTTTGACGGCCCAGGCGTACGGGGACGACCCGTGACTGGCGGATAAGTCCGCCAGGGGCCGCCCACGCCTGGAAATGCTCATGGGCAACATTTTTATTGATTTTTGCTGCGCCCTTGACATTTTGTCTGGATGCGGCAGAGAACTTTTTAATGCTCCTTGAGCGTGACGTGTTTGTGAAAAACAATGTGAGTGCTTGTGACGTGTGTTTTGAGCCAGCACAGCCGGCTGCACGTCCTGGCCCCACCCTGAACCGCTCGGGGACTCTGCCGGAGGGGTTCCGTGAGGGGGGGAGAAGGCACCATGGCAACATCGAACAGGAGGAGCTGGCGAACAGGGAACTGCCAGCTGCAGCGTCTGGAGGGAAAGAACTCCGTCAGGCTGCCCTCTTCTTCTTCCTCACCTGCTGACCGCCGGGTCGGGTGGGTTGTCCCGGTGGCGGAGCGGCTTGGTTGCCGGATCTCTGAGGACAAACTGGTCGAGGCGCTGAGCCCGAAGGAGCTGGTTGGACAGCTTGAGGCTTCGGGCGCTTTGGGATCCAGAACTGAGGCTGGGCTCGGACAGCCGCCTGAGGAAGGTTCGGCCGAGCCGGCAGCGCCGGTGAGGGCTTACGGGGAAGGCAGAGATGAAGGGCTTCATCCTCTTTCTTTTTGGCCTCACACCGTTGCTGCATTGATGCCAGGGCAGAGCCAAAAATGCCTTCAGGCACGATTGGCATGTCCAAAATGTCCTCCTTCTCTCTATCAGAGAGGTTGGAGAGGTTCAGCCATCGTGCACGTTCTTGAAGCACCATCATGCCCATAGCTTTTCCCGTGGCCTGGACCACGCAGCGCTGCACACGCAGGCAGATGTCGGTCAGTACGGTGATTTCCTCCCACACCTCCGGGTCCGGCTTCGTATTCATGTCCTCACAGAGCTCGGCTTGGTACGCCGAGAGCATGGAGGAGACATTCAAAGCTCGGGCGGAGATGGCGGCAGCCTTGTACGCCCTCTCGTTCAGCGCCGACTGGAAGCGGTCCGCCTTCGCGGGGAGAGCGGGAGGCCTGGAGGAAGTTGCCGAGAGCCGTGGGTGCAGGTGGGCTGCAACCAGCGGTTCCATCGGCGGCATGCGAAGCATGCCAGCCTTCTCCATCCCCTCGAAGTCCAGCGAGGAGGCTCCTTGGACAGGAGACCTGGAGCTGAAAGGGTGTTTGTCCCAGGAGGACCTCACTTCTTGGAGAAGCTCCGGGAAGGCGGGAAGGAGGGGCTTTGCCGCTCTTGTGGCCTGAGGCAGCTTCTTTCCCTCGTAGCGGGATCTGACAGCCTCAGTGACCATGGTGGGCCAAGGGATGTTGAGCCTGGTCGCAGCGCGTCGGCAGACTGACTGCATGTCCAGGTGGGCGGCCGGGGAAGCCGCTCCATCCCTGGGAGAGGACGGAAAGCTAGGCATGGAGGCCTGAGCGATGGGGAGAAAAACGTCGTCATCCTCGTCCTCCTCTGAAATGAGGAGTTCCGAGGTGCCCCCGTCGTCTCCGTAGTCCAACTCCAACACGTCCTCGACGGGGTGGCTCGGACCGGCCGGTTCGAGCTGTGAGCCCCAGCTGAGTTCGGCACACAGTTCCGGCTCCGAGAGGACATGTTTGCTGGCGTCCCCAGGCGGTGGCCCAGGGGCCGGCAGGCAAGGGTCCTTCCCCGACAGGCTAGCTTGGCGCGCTAGCCGCCGGCGAAGGCTCTTCAGGGTGAAGCAAGCACAGCTCTCACATGACCCGGGGACTTCCAATGCCAGCTGGGCGTGTTCCAGCCCGAGGCAGCTCGAGCAGACCTTGTGCGGGTCTGTGCTTGAGATTTTGTTCCCACAGGTACAGAGGCGAGCTCCTGCGCCGTCGACTCCTCTGGTGGGAGGAGCGGCTTCCATGTAGGCTAACTGGTGTGTTAGCAGAGAACGAACAGATGCACTGGAGTGTGAAGCTGCTCGTTATGCCCCGAGCCTATGGTGAAGGCCAGGACAGAAGGACAGTAAGTTAACGTTCGGCGACGGAGAGAATATTAGAAGGCTCCGTCTGTGAACAGTTGAGCTAACTTACCTCAGAGATAAGCGACCACCGAAGCGAGAAGAGGTGATTGAATAGTGCGTGCGTGGGGACGCTTGCTACTTATAGTAGCAGGGGGACGCGTACGTCACGGTCACTGGCCAATCAGGATTGGCGTATTGAGATAAGTGCTTCTGAGGAATCCGCGGAGGGGCGTATCCCATAGTGAGACATCGAAACGAATGTTAAGAAAGAGAACCTACCTACCTGGTTACTCCACACACGTATTTCATGAGCATGTTTTGACTCAGAAGTTCCCTGAAGGACTTAGTTGTTCGTCCTTTTATCAAAACTTATGTTGAGCCTCAGAGGGTTAAGTGTTAAAAACAATTTCAATCAACCAATCAATCAATCAATCAATCAATCAATCAATCAATCAAAGCTTTATTTATAAAGCGCCTTCCGCAACCCTGTCAGGAAGCCCAAGGCGCTGAAAAAAAGAAGAAAAAACCAGAGAATCCACACCATTAAAAAAAAGCATCATAGACAACAAAAATACATAAAAGCCAATAAAACACCAATAAAAGCCAATAAAAAGCAAGGTACCACTGCATAAAGAGGACGAGCAGCTCGCTGTGTGCACCCGCGCGAGCGCCATCTCAACTCCAATTTAACCAAGTCAGCATGTTAGAGTTTAGTAACTGTGTGTGTGTGTGTGTGTGTGTGTGTGTGTGTGTGTGTGTGTAGTTTTTCCACATTTATCAATCAATCAAAACTTTATTTATAAAGCACCATTTAACTTGTAATGTGGGGACATTTGGTTCCCACAACGAAACTACCCCTAATGATTGGTTTTAGTAGCCTGGCAAGCAGTCGTGGTCTGTGTCTGTGTCTTCCCTTCTGTGTCTCATAGCGCCCTCATGTGTCTTTTGTCTGCGTCTCAGTTAAGTGTCTTATGTTGTTACCCTTTTAATCATTCCTCCCAGGTCAGCTCCAGCCTCTTTGTCGCCAGCTCGGTGTATGTGTGTGTGGTTATGTGTGTGTGGGTGTATGTGCTATGTCCTCCTCCAGATAGTTTATGTGAGCCCTTCCCTCTGTCTTTAGATAATTGTTGTTTAGTTTTGTGTTTAGGTATCTGACCTCTGTTTCTGCTTCCCCATTCAGAGAAATTGTTGTCACCTGTCTTCCCTCCAGCCCTCACTCCACACACCTGCTTCCTGTTTCCCTAATTGTTCCTCCCAGTCTATTTAAGCCCTGTGTTGTCTTTGTCTTGTGTCGGTCCATTGTATGTGTATTCTGTCCGTGTTTGCTCGTGCTCTTTGTGAGCTTTGTTTCTCCAGCGTTGGAGTTTTGGATTTTGGGCTCGCTGCCTGGATTTATTTTGTTCATCCTCCAAGAATAAAGGATTTTACTTTTCATCATCTCCTGCCTCGTGTCATCCTGGGTTGCTGCATATTTGGGTCCTAACATCCTCAAAACGTGACACAAGCCAAACTAGATAAATATATTATTTAGTCTGGCAACGCTCCATCGACGGCTCTCGGTCGTAGGGCGGGTTCTACCGTTTCAACTGAAACGGATGTCAGTAAACACTGTTGAAGAAGGCAGAAATACATCCTTTTTCTAAATATAGGACTTAAATACATCTCGCTGCTCCTGATTCTAATAAAGCCCAAGTCCATAGTCCAAAATTTATGTAAAAGCAATTTCAAACAAGCTGTCGCCATCTTGTTCATCCCGACCAACAGATGGATAGAGGGCCCTGATTGACCCACAAAGTGAATAGAGTGCTGTGATTGGCCCAACTTTGTGGACCAATCACAGCACTCTATTTGTTTGAAACCCCTCTAGAGGGCTGTGATTGGCCAGCCAGAATGCTGCTAGGGGCTGCAGAGGTTCTATTGGGGCGTTCCTAGACCAAACTTTGCAAGGCAGGGATTTGGTCTAGTTCACGAGGCTATGGTTTTAGAGCTATGGTGTGAATTAGGATTTAGGTAAGGTTCATTATGGTAATGCATAATGCAGTCACTAAAATGAATGGTAGAAAGGGTTCTCACAATGCAAATGTGTGTGTGTTTTCAGTCTTACAGATGCAGCAGTGGGTTGGTAGGGTGAAACCTGAATGACCATTCATGGATCAGATCGCATTTCATCATGACACCGTCCTGTCAGATGTTCACATGCACCTGCCTGGTGCACGCCACCTTATGACTCGCCTCAACAGCGTTGGACAACCAGGTGTGTGTGTGTGTGTGTGCGTCCTTGTTGAATGCTAACATCACATGAACTCTTGTCTAGCCTGTCACTGATTCTACGTTTTGATTGGACAGGACATAGACCGTTTCCTCATGTCTCTGGTCTTTAGTCCTTGTTCTCATGTCAAAGCTGAAAACTAATCGGCGAGCTTCAGTTCTAGTTTAGATTTCCTAAGTAAATGATTAAACTCTTTGGGTTCATATTGTTTACAGTAAAATGTATTTTAAACTAAATCTAATAGCCGTTTAAAAAATAAATGTATTTATTTTGAATGTGTTATATAAACCTTTATTTAACCAGGAGAAAAATCCCTTTCAGATTATTAACCTCCTAACCACGAAGCAGCAAAGTGCAACATAAACAACAACATTAAAATAACATGGATCATAAAAAAACTGTTGAACACCACTGGAGCCATTTCTGTTGTTTGGTTTTGAAGGGTTTTATGAACAAGAGCTCTTTGCTCAGTCAGTTTCTGGTGTTTCTGCAGCATGTTCGAAGAAAAGGAGCTGGATAAGCAACGACTTTCTTACCAAACTGTGCAGGCAAAATGGACAGAGAGCAACCACTGATCATTAGAAGTCAACACGTCTCTGTGTGGGAAATAGCAAATGTAAACCAAACATAGCCATGTAACTAAATGCATACCACCGTGCGTGTCTTCTAGTGGCAAATGATGGCCATCCATAAGTTATGAGTACAAATCCCAGTGATGTGTCACAACCAGTGTTGGGCAAGTTACTTCAAAACTGTAATGCATTATTTATTACTTGTTACCCTCATTTTAAAGTAATTAATTACATTACAATATTACTGATTTTAAAATGTAAGGCATTACACTACTTTTGCATTACTTTAAGTTACTTTCACCAAAACAACTTCAATATGAATCTGGTCATGTGACGTTCAGTGAGCTCATGACATATATGTGGAAGGTGATGTGGTGTCTGAGCTAGGGTTGCTGTTAAAAACAGTCAGATATAATAACAGTGCTTTAAAATAGTTGTTTATTAAATGAAAGCAACAACAATCTGTACTCTCAGCACGCTGCCATCTTATATTAACTGATCAGGGAGTGAGGTGGTGGGGGCTCCAAGCCTATATTTGCATTGGTCCCCAAATGCCTTGATACGGCCCTGGATGTGGGACTGACTTCTGGTGTGATCTGATTCTATCACATGTATAAATATTAAAATGCTTATATATTATTGCTTTTCACTGGTAAAAATGTGTATTGGGGATAAATCTACCTACTTTTTTCTTTTTAAGCACTTTGTTTTGTTTTCTTGATTTTATATGAATAACTTCCTGCCCTTTCTCTCTCTAACCTTCCTGCATGCTGCATGTTTTCTCCGTCTTCCAGAAAAACTGTTTCCTAGATTTCCTACTTTCTAACTAATCAGCCATAGGGATCTACCGAATGCAAAAATAAATAAATAAATAAATAAGCTTTGCGCTGCGCTCCAGCAGCAATGAGTTGAAATCACCGGGGCACAGATTATGAACTCAGCTGAAAAGTACATGAAGTACCAGAGAATATGGGCTGATATAAACGATCGCAAACGAATTACTTTGCTTTTCTGGAGCGATTTTGTGAATATAACAGTGGCCGCGCGCAGGACACAGCTGGAGTATTTGAGCCATTACCGCTGCGTCCTCTCTGCTCAGAGAATGCTCGCAAAGCTGAGTCCATAAATGACGTCATATATGTAGATACTGGATCTTTTTTCAGGCTTCCCGCAATTTGAATTTTTAGGAAACCCACATCTTGATTCTGGGTTTAAAAATGCGTTGTAATTACCGCGTTACTGACAATTGTACCGAGTAAATATTACCATTTTCTTTCCCTGTAATGCCTTACATTACCACATTACAGCAAAAAGCAATGCATTACAGTAATTAATTACTTTTTGTACTGCGTTACTCCCAACACTGGTCACGACTACAGTTGGTAATAAATCTCAAAGAAGCGTGATAATCAAGTCCGACCTTTGAGGACGAGGAAAGAAGCATTCATATAGAAAGATCACCATAATCTAGCAGATAAAATAATATCAGTGACTTTAAAATAAAAAACAGCTTGTAACCGAAGAAAAAGCCTAAACTGTTTTGACTTCATCACAGATTTTATGTGAGGTTTAAAAGTGAGGGAGTCATCTATCAAGATAGCAAGGTAGGCTTCTTGTGTTCATGAACCACCAAAATTACATTCTCTTCAAGAGTGTTCACTACTGGAATAGTTTCTGGCACTTTCTTATTGGAAAACAACCTTAGTTAAAGTTAAAGTCCCACTAGTTTTCACACAGGTGTGTGAAATTTGTTCTCCATATTTGACCCATCCCCTGGGGAAGCAGTGAGCTGCAGACACAGCCGCGCTCGGGAACTATTTGGTGGTTTAAACCCTCAATCCAACACATTTATGCCGAGTTTCAAGCAGGGAGGTTTTGGTATGACCCGATCGTGGATTTGAACCCCGCCCATCCGGTCCCAGAGCGGACACTCACACCACTAGGCCACTGAGTTGGTTAGCTTGGTTAGTTGCCTGCATTGTGGACTAGTTTTACCTGAAGAAGTGAATTTTGGACAACACCATCTGCAGGGTTTCACTGGCCTGAGGAGTGATGTTTCAAAACAGCAAACAACCATCATCAGCATAGAAATGCATATTAGCACGAGAAACATTGCAACTGAATGTATCCTGACAATCCAAGGCTCTGTAGTCCAGCTTTTAAGACCACATGTTCAACAGTGTCTAAAGCTTCTGACAGGTTCATGAAAAGGGCTGTCTCTCATCAAGTGATGCAATAAAGTCATTGACAACCTTCTAGTAGGTGTGATAGTACTGTTGTTCTTTTCTAAAGCCTGGGTGAAATTCGGAGAGGATGTCATTTGAGTGCAGATGCTCTTTCAGCTGGTTACAAACAAGAGTCCAGAAGTTTGGATAACACACATACATTTGATATCGGCCTATAATGAGTCAGAACTGCTGGATCACCTCCTTCTATTATGCTGATTTCCAAACTACTGGAATTTCTTTGGTGTAAGTTGGAAGATGGCTCTGCCATAAAATTTGCTGCCATCTTCAAAAAAAAAAAGGTTTAGTCAAATCTGGTCCAAAGTTTTTAAACTGGTTTACACTTCATGAACAGTCAAAGGTGCAAAGTGCAAATGGTCTCCAGAAAACGGCCAAGTTTGTCAAGAGAGCTCCTGCAGAATCAAACAAGGAACCTCCTGATAGAAACAACAAATATAGGAAGGGTCAGAGTTCTTATTCACAGAAAGAGACATCATCACTTTGAGGATCATTGAGGTTTTCAGTGAGGACAGTCAAAAATATTCTGATTTGGCCCTTCAATAAGGGAAGTGTACTTATTTCAAGAATGTTTGAAAACAAACCGGTCAGTGGACAAATCTGTTCTTGCCCTACGTTACGCTCATGTACAGCGTCTACCAACCCTACGCTTCCGATCCGTGGGCGCACACTTTACTAGTCAAATCCAGAATTTTAAGTTTCTGCTCTGAGTCATTTAGCCCTCCCCTTGCTCTAACACATTTGTGTCAATCTGTCCAGTCTTTGTGTCCAGATTTAAGGTTCTGGTTGAAGGACATGATAACAGTGACCGCGGAAAAGTATTAGACCAGAAAGAGAAGCTCAATGATCCACAAGGAGACACAAAAACCTCACCTTGCCAAGATGAGGAGAAAGATGGTGAAGGAAATGTGGAGCCATTCCTGGATGAAGATGGAGACCTTGATGTCCCACACCGGTAAGAAAAAAACAAACTCACTTATTTCAGAATGTGTGTTTTATCTAGGAGATTTGGTCTGCACCTCAACTCTGCAAAGGCACCTTTCCACAGAGGGAAGGGTATTTATTAAAATGAGTTTAATGCATAATATTTCCAACCTAAAACACAAAAGCTGTAGATGTAAACGGCAGATTTGCCTCCCAATGCATGAGCCGAACTCCATAAACTGATTAGCTTCCCCTGAAAATCTCTGTTGTGATTCTATCGGCTGCGATGCCCTCCAGCTTTGCCCAACAATTCAGAATTTTAATTCACACAAACATTCACTCAGTCACGTTTAATACTAATTATTATGCAGGAGAGCGTTCCCAGTCTGACAGCTGAAACTGCTGCTAACCATCAATCAGTCAAGTTTATTTGTATAGCACTTTCCACAACCATGGAGGGTGACCATGGTGCTTTACAGGACATAACAATAAAAGATATTACATAAAACCAGTGCAAACTAAAACTCATAAAACAATAGCATACAAGTTAATACAACATATAGAGTGACATGTCTAAGCTAAAGAGAAAGCTAAAAAAGAGATTAAGAGAGCCCACAGAGGATAGGTACTGATGGAAAACGTAGGTTTAAAGCTTGTGCTTGAACAATGACGACTCAGAGGTCAAATGCAGGTCATCTGGGAGTTTGTTCCAGACTTCTGGAGCCGTGACTGAAAAAGAGCGGTCACCCCAGTGCTTGTATCTAGAGCCCCCGTTGACTAGTGGGCCGTGTTAGCCGACGTATGGACAAGGAGTCAGAGAGATGGGCAGGACCGAGGACTCGTGAACGTTATGATTTAGCATTGCATTCTGTAAAACACAGGAAGCCAGTGCAGTGCTAAGAGAATGGGAGTAATATGGCTAGGGTTGGGCATCGAGCATCGATTGGAACCGGTTCCAACTGTTAGTTTTTCCCGGAATCGTTCAAAGTTTTTTATTTCGATTCCTAGAATGCAGACGGAAGAGGAATCCGCGGCTGATCTCCGTGAAAAATAAACATGATCTGCAAATTGTGATCAACGCTTTTCAGAGCTGATCACACCAGCTGTCTGTGTAGAAATTAAAACAGACGTGTGTTGATAGGGAAATAGCTGGCGAGCCATGTTTACGCATGCGCCGTGAGAGGTTCTGGTTCTGTTTGGTTCTCGCACGAGAGGAACATCAGCTCAGGTTGTGTACTTATTTTTTGCACAGGCATTTGTTTACTTTGAAGTAAAGTTGAAGTGCTGAAGTTTTGAACACTAATTTTGAATAAAACTTGAAGAATAACTGGCAAATGCTTGCTCATTTTAAGAGGTATTTCATATTTTATAACATGCTATTTGATATAATGGTCTACAATCACAAAAGGGTCATTTATTAGAGTATTCGATTAATCGATAAAAGATTCGATAGAGTACTCGATTACAAAAATATTCGATAGCCGCAGCCCTAGTCTGGATATTCGTCATTTTGGTGTCGGGATTTCTGCTGTTTGGCCTGAGTGGTTACCTGGCTTACTGGAAAATTAATGAGCTGTCGAGGAATATTGGCTCAATCCCAAAGCTCAGGGATGGATTACACCGCGCTGTGAACGCACAAACTCATATACCGTAAATCCTCTAATACAGGCCCGGGCCTGTATTTGACTCAGGCTCATCAAGCTCCAGGCCTTTATTGGAAGGAGGACCAGAATTAGAGGCAGGCCTCTATTTCTATTTGAGCAAAATGAACTAATGGTTCGCTGGAGTTTTTGACAATTAAAATTGCGCCCACATTTTCAAAGTTAAACACATTTCTTTTAACAATGGTAGTTTCTGCTTCAGCCCCCCCCCCCCCATCCCCGCGCAGCGGCCGCAAACTCACTGATGCGCCTGCAGCCTCTCGGAGTTCCTGCTGCTCTAAACATTAAAATAATTATTTCATTTTCTGTTCCTCACTTCTGATTACCTTCAATGGTGTCTGTTTGTTGCAACCAGCAGGTACAAAAACTAACTTGTTTTTATTTGACTATTTTTCTGTCCTGCCTGTTTATTATCTTCCTGCATCTCCTCTCAATCCTGAAGAAAAACTGCTACCTGGGTTCATATAAATTCACCTTATGAGTTACCTTTGAACTGCAGTTCTAAAAGATCTACCGACCGCAAAAACAGCGGAGTGCGTGCCGGCCACATCAGTTAGGTGCGTCACCGAGGACAAAACAGGTGATGCGCCCCGATCCACAGCAGCAAAACGCATCAGGCACAAATAAAAGAATAAAAGACAGAAAACATAAAAGGAAATGAGCCGACATGAACGATCGCGTGTTAAATTAGTTTTTGAGGTGGCGACACCTGATTTGATAATGTTACTGTGGCCGTGCTCAGGACGCAGATGTCTGGAGCGCGTCAACAATCAGAGCTTTGCATGCACAAGCTGGTTAAGGTTAGGATGGGTCTGAGGGGAGGTTAAATTGCAAGAGGGTAAACGTCACAATTTGGTTGAATGTCCGTTTTACGGCGGGTGTCGGTACCGACGCTCTGGCACAGCGCGTTGCCTCCCGACGCGCAGGAGCTTGTCACCTGCTGACAGCAGGCTGCTGTCTTTTCCGTGGACTGCATCTTGCCGGTCATTATCACGTGACAGCAACTAGTCGATGACAGGCATAAAAAGTCACTATAGAGCGGTGAAGTCGACTAGTGACTAGTTCATACAACCCCTAATGCTCCCCAGAGTGTTCTGCAGCATAATCAGCAGGTTCTCTTTGAACTTGATATCAAATTTTCGCCTCCTCTTCGTCTCCGCACGGTTAAAGTTACCCTCGTGGTCTATCACTGGCAAATCAAAAGTGAGACGGATGACACAACCGCCCCCCGTACTTGCTTGTTACCACATTCCACCCGGCCACAATAAAAAACCGGCCATTATTCACCTCCGCCGACATCGGCCAAAATATGATACCCGGCAGTTAATTAAATACAGGCTAATATTAGAGGATTTACGGTAAATGTCGAGATGAGTCGTAAGCTTGGAACTTTGGCTGGGATTCAGACTCTGGCACAGAAGGTGGATTTGATCAAGGAGAAAGTTGACGGATCAGCACGGACTGGGATAGATTAATTACGCCATTATTGGATTTAGGGAGGTTGAGGACCAACATAACTTTAAGAAAGAGAGGAAATTATCTCTGTCTGGCCCCAAAACAAGTTCTTATCTGAATCTGGTGCCCTTGAGCCTGTGAGGCTGAAGTGATTACTCCCCCTCAGAAGACATGTGGAATGCTGCCGTCGCCATGGCAACTCTGTCTCCCTATCCCAGCTTGGGCGGGACTGCGAGCTGTGAAGGCCGTTGAATCGTTTCCAGGAGTCACTGTGCTCTCTTACCCAACTACCTCCTTCCCCTGTCCAAACGAAGGCAACGAGCGCTGCTTGCCTGCATGCACTGATGTTTGGAGAGTCCCCAACCCTACCTCCCCACCTAGTGGACACTTATGTTGTGTAATGTCTGAAGTCTGTTGCATTTCTGTCTGAGGTGTTTTCTTGCAGAGCAAAGCTGCCCTCCCTGTGGAGGGTAACTCTGAAGTGCCCTTTTTTCCTCCACCTGACTCAATCCTCATGTAAACCCTCTGATCTCTATTAAGGCAGCGCGACTCGGGTTGTGAATGACCACAGTCACCAATTCTTGTCATGTGTCTATGCCTATGTATGTCTGATCTCAGAATTGTGTGTACTGAAACCCAAATTTCCCTCTGGGATTAATAAAGTATCTTTGAATTGAATTGAATTTCTGTTGAGAGTTTTAATGTTTAAATCTGTTAGATTGTTACCGACAGCAGCTACGTTTAAGTTTCACTTTCTGTTCTGACTGAATGCTGCTGCAGCATGGAGGTGTAGTTCTCAGTCATCCTGGGCATGATCATCCTGAGAGTTTTAGCTGAAAACAGCTGGACGTTTCTGGATATGTTGGAGACATTTAGCCTCTCATCCCAGAGGCTTCTTCCACACTTTGGTTGTGGTCAGAAACAAACAAATATTTCAACTTTCTGGGATTGCGTCGCTGGGTCGCGTGTGCTGCTGAAATCTTACTTCTGATTTTACTATATAAACATAATAACTTCTCCTTCATGTTTGCTCGGAGATGTACGGAGCATAATGTCCGCTCATTGGTCAGTGAATGAAACCTCCGTTGATTGGTCCTCGTCCGAGCGATAGCGATGAAAAGTAGAAAATATTTCAACTTTCTGGGATCGCGCTGCTTGGTCGCCTGTGCACGACACGTGCACGAGCGCAAAATTTCACATGCACGTTTTTCGCGTTTCGCTTAGTAGGAGGGAGACCCGTGGTTATCGCTTTGTCGTGCATGTCTCATTGAAAATGAATGGAGGAGAGGCGATGTCGCCTCCCGTGTGTCGAGCCCTTAAGAATGATAAGCGTGCCCTGGTGGTGATACGTGGATAGCGCGTTCTTAATGCAGCTCAGTCATCCCACAGCAAATTTCAGACTTAATATGAGCGACGAGGCTATTTTTAATACATTCACAATGTGAGCACTTTTCTGATCCATGTTTCTCCTGTAAACCTTTTGTTTTTGACAAGAAATTTGATAAAATAATGATTAAATATTTATGTTTTTGACACGTTTTTTAAAAACATATTAAAGACTAATCTTTAGTGAGTATTTTAATATTTTTTTCTGCCTGCTTGAATTTTTCTGATGGTTTAAAAAAATCAGGAATGTGACTCAAAATTACAAAAATTTAAAAGATTTATTATATTTTTCAACAAAACTGTCATTATTTTTATTTATCTGCCCATAAACCATCATTTTGTATAGCAAATAAGAAACATGTTAATAGTCCAAATTTATCAAAAAACCTTGTTATTCATATGCACCTTCTCATAACAGTCATTCAAATCTCAGCTGGCATGTTCTTTTTGGCACACCTGTTAAATTGAGCCCCACCAAAAAAAAAAAATGTCACCGGCCGTGACTACCCAGGAAGATCTATTGTTGAAATATGGCGGGTAGCTTTTGTAAATGACTTGTTTTTTTCCTTAGTGGAGCTAACACGGTTAGCGGTGTTGCTGCAATCATGCTAACGGACAGTGGCGGCTCCAGAAATATTTTTCTGCAGGTGCTATGAAGGAGCTAGTCTCTTTATTGAGGGTGCTATGAAGGAAGTAGTCATGCGTACCTATTGTTCTCTAAAACACCTTCAACACTAGCAGATACACATGCGTGCACAACACCTCAACAACACCTGAAACAATCAACCCTTGATCGCCGCAGCAAAGATTGATGATTCTCTTCATCCAGATCCGTAGGTTTTTGTGGGTTTGAGATCACTTCCAAAGATTCATTCGTTTCTGACTGAACCTGTGGAAATGTGGGCAACAAAAACCAATCCATTTTACCACTAGCTCTACCTTTCACTCGTTCGCAGGTGGAACATGAGGTCAAAGGTTAACATCAATTTCCTGTTTTGGTTTAAGTTTTTACTATCTATATGATAATTTACTGATTATTTTTGTTTTGTACGTTAAATATTATCGCATCCACACGTTAAATAAAAATTAAATTCTAAAAAAAAATCAAATATTTACTTGGGGGTGCTATGACAAATCCAGGGTTAGCTATAGCGCCCCCTGGCGCCGCCACTGCTAATGGGACTCTGGAGTCCAGAAGAACCACCGGTGTGGTTCCAGACGGATTTATAGGGAGCCTAAGTCACGCCCATCTACTTCCGGACCACGGGTCCCCGCCAGAAGAATGAAAAAATGAACGCAAGTCAATGGAGCTAAAAACGTTATTTTCTAATTCCGCATGTTTTGTGCCATAGATTTCACATATGATGTCCGTGAATTTGAAATACACATTTTAATACCAAGAATGTGCTTATTTTCACACAGGGGTAACTTTATTTTAGATTTTGTTTGAAAATAAGTCCAAAACCAAAAAAAAAAAAAAAAGTTCAGCAAACTTCTAATTCTTCCCACTTTCTTGAGGAAAGAACCACCATAAATCTGGTCATGTGGTATGTAGCAGCTACTTTGGGGAGAGGAGATAATGTGGTGACGTCACATATGCAACGTGCCGATTTCTACTTTGTAGTCATGCTAATTACGAACTTTTACAAGCTGATAAATCTCAAAGTACCTGACAGGTGTGGTCGAAACACCCATCAATCGTTTTCATTTAAATTGCAGTACAACATATGTGTGATCCAGGGCGTGCGGCAAAGCGGATTAGAAAACAGCGTTTTAGCCCCGTTGACTGCATTCATGTTTTCGTTCTTCCGGGGACCCGTGAGCTGACCGGACAGAGAGGAGACTAAAGGCCCCCTATAGATGTAGGTTATTACTGTATTTTAGATCAGACCTGTGTTATTTACAAATGCGTGTAGGACACGGACATGTGGCCCAGACCTTTTGCTGCAGCTGTAAACGCAATTTTCCGATTGTAATTAAGAACACAAAAGTAAACAAAATACAGTTATTCAGAACACTAGCAACAGCAGCTAGCTTGTTTTACGTGTTGGAGTGACGTGTGCAGAACACAGTCCTTCGCTGTCTGGAGGAGAGGATTTGGATTTTCTGTAATGATTTATGACAAAAGTCCTTAACAATATGAACTCAGTTCATATTTATATAGATGTTAAAGTGTAGTTATACTGAATTTCTACTACTTTAATGCCGAGTCTGGCCAATACCTTTAAAGCCACAAATGACTTCATTAGTGCACTGATATCTATTACAGGGTTTCTCCCAGAAAACTTGCAAAACCCGGCGATACAGAAGCTCAGGCGTGAGAGCGTTGAGTAGGGGATGCATGGATCGTTCAGCTTCTGTGCATCGTCCGTGAAAGTGCGGAGGGGGGGATGCTTAGCCTGGGGAAACCCTGTATTAAAATATGGAACTGATATTATTGATTGATCTGTGTCGTTTTTTAATAATTTATTGTTAATTCGACAGATTTTTATGAAAGGAAGGTCCTAATGTTTATTTAATTACCATGGACCTAAAATCTAAAGCCGCTTACGGGTCTGAAAACTGCCCAAGTGACTTTCCACGCAAACTTTGTGATTCATAAAGAAATACGTGATGAAAAATGTGGTGACTTTAAGCAAACTTTGGGCAGGGTGTAAGAACGTTTACCTAGCAGCACAGACTTGTAGACGGTTCAGGGAGGTTCTGCTCAGACACGTGAAAAGAGAGTTGCAGTAGTCTAAGCGTGAGGAGATGAAGGTGTGGAGAACTGTCTCAAGTTCAGAGCGGGACAGAATGGGACTCAGCTTAGCAACGTTCCTGATATGGAAGAAGGAAGAGCCAACAAGAGAACTGACATGAGAATCCAGGGTGAGAGTTGGGTCAAAGATGCAGTTCCATATGGATCATGTTCAACTGTTGTACATTGAAAGCTAATCACTAAGAAGCTTGTGTTATGTCGTTCCAGACCACGGGAAAACTCTGCGGTTGGAGGTCGAGATTTGGTCTGTCCTGTCATTCTGAAACAGTCGAGCCCTGTGATAGAGCTAGAGGAGTGTGAGGAGGAGGAAGAGGATCGTTGTTCCGAAGGCGTTTTAAGGATCGGTAAGAGTCTCAGTTTAGTTGCTTCACTAATTTTATAAAACTGTTGTTTTTTGGGACAAGTACTACTCACCAGTCTGTTTGCTGTGTTTCTGTATTTGGTAGTCAGACCCCTGAAATCAGCAGACTACATTGTTTTCATGTAATTAGGGTTTGAGCTAATGTCCTGAAGTTGTGTTAAATGCATAGCATTTCCCCATACAGCCAGCGAAATAAAGTACAACAAATATACAGTTGTGCCAACAAGTTTACACACACCTGGAGGAGTTTTTGGGCCATTTCTCAAAGAATATGAATGAAAACACAAAACTCATGGTCAGTGATGTTGGGAAGCCATTTATTGTGAAACAAATGTGTGAACTCATTTCAAATCACCAGCCTGTTTCGGTTTAGGAGTTGTTTTCAATGCTCAGAAAATGTTTTGTCTCACTCCCGTTTCTTCTTGTTGCACATTGAAGCTCCACTTGGAACCTTGTTAATATCCAACCATGCAGATTAGGATCCTTTGCCGTTTTTGAAGTGGTCTTAAACTTTAGATCGGGACTGTATATGTGGTGATAAGAGCAGAGAGATGTGGACCTGAACACATGCTTATCTGTCCACAGAGCACACTATGGCTACAACCTTGGAGGATGTTGGCAAACAAGTAAGTACAAATAAATCAAATGAACTTGGGGACAGCGCTTTTAGGAACATTCTGCATTTGTAAAACATTTAATTCAGCAGGAGAAGCACCAATACTCACTACAATGGCTGTTAAACATGGAATAAATTATAAATAGAAATCTGTAAACTACATCTCTTTCTAAATGCATCAAAATGCAATTCTGTCACATATTAGTTTACTTGTACTTGTTATTTTAATGTAAAAACACAGACAAAGATTTTCAATTATCCTACTTTTGCCTAAAAATATAAAATAAATCATCAGATGTCACATGGATTCTTACATATTGGGTCAAAATCTTTCTCTGCGTCGTCGCTGATTTAGAAGGAAAACATGTCTTATTTTATTCATTGATGATTTGGGGGAATCGAAACACAATTCTTTGAGTACATTTGATTTAGCACTAACATGTGGTTCTGATTGTCTAAGGTTTGGAGGGGGGCGCTCCTCCTGGCCGATTTCATCCTGTCTAAGCCAGAATTATTCAGAGGGTCTACGGTCCTGGAGCTGGGAGCAGGAACAGGCCTAACCAGCATCATCATGGCCACCACAGCCACTAGGGTCTACTGCACAGGTACGATGCCATCAAGCACATATCCTTCACCCTATAAAAGTCATCTCCCAGTCCTTTACTAAAAGCAACCAGTCCGCTTACGATCTGATCTGGTCCGATGTCAGTACCAGATTGGCTCGGGGCCCTGCGCCTGCTGATGATGTCACATTCAGGCAAATCCACGTGGCTTTCACACTTAAGTTTTGGAAAGACATCAGCTGTTTTATTAATAAATTATTGTTTGTTAACACCTAAATGTGTTCTTTATTATTATAATTTGTTAATAAAACACCATATTATCTTTGTTTTGTAAAGAATGTGAAACTACATAAAACCAACATCAGACTGCCAAAAACACAACAGTTCTTATATGTGAAGGCACATCTGTTTGTATTAATGTGTAATTCATCTGTATATTTCCTTAGTTGTTATGTAAATACATTCATTCATTCATGCAAATTGTTGCTTGGTGTCTTTTCAATAAAGTTCTTTTATTTTATTTTGCCCTATTTCATCAAAATCAAGAGCTTTTGAGGGTCACCGTTTATCAGTTGATGTCTTTGCTTTTATTTTACATTTCCTTTGGAAATTCAAACATATTTTCTCCGAAAAGTGTTGATTTTTGGACTACAGGACTACAACCGCTAAGACAACAACCGTAAATTCCTTCTGACCAATCAAAATCTTCATTGTCAACATGCTAACGTAACTTTTACGGGCGTGGTATTGTAACGTTCAGCCATTCATCTATGGTGGCGTCATTTGCAGACGCAGGACCCCGAGCCGATCTGACTGCCTGAGCAGATCTTGGTACTGACACCGGTCTGGTCTGGATTTGAACAATCTGTTTCCAGTATATTCAATACATTCACAATAAAATCAGACTCACTATATTAAAAACAATTGTGAGTCAAATTGTCACAAGCTGAACAGCCCAGTATGAAGATGCATTGAAGCGAGAAGACAAGTGGTAAGTAAGTAAAGTTTATTTATACAGCACTTATCACAGAAAGAAAAACCACAAAGCGCTTCACAAAGAACAACAAAATAAATAAATAAATCATAGTCATAAAATGATTATTCAAAGAAAACAACACACCACAATATTAAATAAAAATAAAATATAATAAAGATCAGAAAACACATTTTTTTTAGTTTTAAAAAAAGGGTTAAGTTTATTAACTGATTATCAACTGTTAAATGTATAAAATGATCACAAATTAAACTACAAAACTATCATAAAACAAATGTAAGATAATTAAAAAGTTAACTGTACAGAAAAAATAAATAAACACAAATAATTTATGTAACTGTAGTTTTAAATAAAAAGGGTCATCAGCTGCTTTTAAAAAGGTGACCAGACAGTCAATACTACATAAGGATAAATGAAGTTCACGCGGGCTTGGTAAACTGTAGGAGTGAGCAGAAGCGCTCGTCGAAAATTCTCACCTGATGTGAACAGAGGAGCAGCGGGCAGCGCACGAATTTTGTGAGCGATCCACTTTACAGCGTTTCGCAGCTGGTGTGACCCTGGCATTAGGCTTTTACAATTGAATAATATAGGGAAGGGATTAACCATGTAGAGCCCTGAAAGTTCTAGTCAGGATTCTAAAATGAACTCTAAAGTTAATGGGTAACCAGTGTAGAGGCATCAGAATAGGAGTGATGTGTGCTCTTCTGTTTGCTCAAGTTAAGAGCCTTGCTGCTGAGTTCTGGACCAACTGAAGGTGGTCAATGGCTTAAAAAACGGATAAACATTTCAAGTTCATGTTTTGACACCAACCTTCACAGTTTCGAGATATTTCTCAAACGATAACAGTTTCGGACCAGCGTTTTTGAGTGGCCTTCAAGAGACATTGATTGGTCAAAAACACCCAAATTCCTTAAGTTTGACTTGATGGCTTTTCAGAGTTTAACTCAAGGAAGTTATCTTCTAGCCAGTTAGTGATAGCTGATAGACACTATAGTATTTTAAAAAGTTTATAGAACTCATACTCTTTAAAGGAGAAGTACAGCTGAATATCATCTGCATATAGATGATAAGAGACATTATGAAAATAATAAATTATCTGTCCAAGAGGGTGTATGTACAGTAGAAACAACAGTGGACCCAAAACAGAGCCTTGGGGTACCCCACAGAATAGATCGGTAGAATCTGACATGATTTGGTTTTTACTGACACTGTAACTTCTGTTAGAAAGGTACAATATAAACCAGTCTAGAACAGTTCCAGAGATCCCCACCAAGTCGGTTTATTGAGGTGCTGTGACCAACAGTGGCCATGTGGTGTTAGAGACGGATTCAGGGAATTTTGCATGTGCAATAAACAAATGGTGCGTGTTCTCAGACATAACCTCTCTTCTGTGTCTCAATCTGCCATTCCCAGTAGGGATGGGTTACAGAGCCTTATGGTGCATTTGATTTGTCCTCAGAACTCTGAAATCCAGATTTCTGAGTAGGAAAAATAAAATGAAACGCCCCCTAAAGTTGGACCTCCCAGTCGGAAAGAATTTCAGAACTCATATGCTGGTGAAGGTTCTCTGTCATCCAGGTCATGGTAATCCAAAGGGTTCAAATGAAGGTAAATGGACTTCTTTAGTTTCTTGAAGACGTTTCACTTCTCGTTTCACTTGAATGCTTATATTCTGATTTGAAGTTTGTATATTTAAACTTTGAGTGAAATAAAGAATTGAATTGAATTGAATTGAAATGCTTGAATCTCAGAACTCCGACCTCGACATCCAAAATAGCAGCTCTCCTTATCAACAACAGTATATCAGTCAAACATGTTTATTTTACAAAACACACTTACTTTGCAAACCAATCTGAATCATGTTCAGTAATGGCATTTATTCATATATTTTCTTTTCTTTAGTTAAGCCAGATAACTAAAGAATTTTGCCTCTTTGAAAAGCAGACCCTTGTCAAAATGGCAAAGACTTCAAAAAGTATAATGTGTCATGTAAGAAACATTTAATGCGCCAAACCTATTGTTAAAAAATATACATAACTACATAAAGTGCAGGTAAATTGATGCTTTGGTGAGGCCTTCCCTGGAGCAAGCAAGAGGGAAAGCTGCTAGCACTGATGGCTCATCGGACATCTGTCAGGCAAAAGGACACGCCCCTAAATATTCATAAATTTCAAGCTTTAATTATATTTAATTGTTGTCATGGCCATGAACGTGATCTAAATGTATTTATTTTTTTGTACCAGGTTGTAAACATGTTTATTTAAACACTGGAGTCAAAGAGAACTTGCTCCTTATTAGAGCCAGCCCCTAGAAGATGAGGGTAGAACTTCTGTGTTGGTTTCACTTTTGGCAGCCGAGATTGCCCCGGTCCCAATCCACTCAGTGTCAGGAATATATAAACATCGGATGCAGTCATGCAAACTACACAACGATGCTTAGCCAAATTACTGCTAACGCTAGCCCAAGTTACTACTAATGCTAGCCTGAGCTGCTAATGTCCATGTTGGACATCGGTCACTCAAGCGCATGCCACCCACCTCGCAGACATCAGCCGGATAAAAACTCACTTCCTTGTTTGTGCACCACACACACACTCAGTGCAGTTGCATGTGCACTGACTGACATCCAAGTCGATCCAGGTCAATCTTATTGTAATAAGCTGGGAGTCTTTATCCTAGTTTACATGCTCAATGAAAACCAGCCTCTCAAATAGAGTTTGTTCCACTCCGGTACAGTAGGTGGTTGCATGCCCCCCTCCATGTCGGCTTCCAGTTGGCTTCCAGGGAAGCAGACAGAATTTAAACAGGATATGCACAATGGCTGAAGGAATGTACAACAACAACAGTTCAGCACAGCTTGTTTGGTATGTACTGTCCTGTTTATGATGTTGCTTTGTGATGATGGTCTCGTCAGAAGGCTGCTTCAGTGGTCTCGTCAATTCCATAACGCGAGCGTCCTGTTTAGTTTGGCTGACCTGTTTACATGCAGAATGTATTCGGATTGTTACCGCATTGTCTTGGTGCTTCCGCTTGATTAGAACCAGTTTGCCTTCAGCCAGACTAACACGTTTATGTGCAATTAAAAAAAAAAACGATTTGATTCTTTTTAGGGTAATACTTCCGTTTTCTTATGCGCATGTAAACGCACTGACTAGCTTATAGGGGAGCCGTAGGTGTAGCATCCCCAGTTGAAAAGATGGTCTCTCAAACTGATGGTTCTTAATCCTTTTATTAAATAGCCGTGCATGTGAACACACCGTAAGAGCTACAACATACAGAATAAAAGACTATTAGTAAATCAAACAGTGTGTTACCTTTAACCCTTTTGACTTATTTATTAATCACAAATTAATTCTCTTTACCTTTCATAACAAATAACACTGAAACTTGTCAATTATTGCATAGAACAGTGAAATTGTTGCATCGCTGCCTAGACATGACAAGATACGTTAGCACCCTCTAGCGGGTGAAAAACTTGGCCTTTATGCTTAGCAGAGGTCAACAGCTATATGCTCCGTATAACAACAAAGTGCATATCTACAGGACAAACTTTGTTACAAACCTCGTTCCCTCATCAACCAGGTGCTAAGAAACTGCTTTCAACTCAGTATTGCACCTTAATAGCCGTTCTTTTTTCCCATTCCCGTCCATTAACCACAGAGCACACCTTCTCTCTGTGCATTAGATCTCGCGCTTCGGCTATATAGTTTACGCCACTTGATTTACGGCACCTTGTCGCTCTGTGACTTTCAAAGTAAGAGCATCCGCTCCAACAATACAACAGTCGCTCATAACTTTACGAACTACTTTACAAAATATTAACGTGGTCATTTACAGTAGGACTGAATCGGCCCATCAGCATGCAGCTCATTTAATTTTCACGTCGTGGCTGAGAGGGTGGGGAAGCCCAGTCTTTTTATTTTAGGGCCTAATAATTGAGTTGTGTTTGGCCATTTATCTAGGCTCCTGGGACACTGTGAGCCCCAACAAAGTTCCATATGCATAGAGGCTCAAAGAACAGTTTCTGTTGAAAATAAACCCTTTCTAGGAGACATTTAATGGACCCAATAACAACGTGTGTTGCTGCTGTCTTAAATCAGCAAACAATCTCCTAAAGAAACTCCATATTTAATGTTACAGATGTGGGAGAAGACCTTCTGAGGTTGTGCAAGAGGAACATATCTTTAAACAAACACAAAACAGAGCCAGCAGGTAAGGTGTTGTCTTTTATATAATGTTTATGAGCACCCCCCGTCTCTCTGTCTGTGATATTTATGTTGAATTCTGACAAGTATTTATCAGTTTTTCAGAACTTGACTTGATCGTGAGCCTGTTGCCTGCTAGCATTAGAATTACTCAATCTGCCCGATCCCAAACTTTGGACGATTTCTGCCCTTTACAATGGTTTGTGTCTTTGCTGGTTTCTCTATTTACCTCCACAGAAGCTAGGTCACCACACTGTGTGCCAGATAAATGTGTAGAGACTGTGATGTGCACATTTAACAAAGCCCTGAATCAGTAAAAAATTATTTGAGGAAATTAACGAATCAAACCAATCAAATGATTCTATGATTCGTTTCAGCCCTAAATGAAACAGCTACAGTCACACACATTGCTCCAAGGAGCCAGTTAGAACTGCTGCACGCTATAGGGAGGAAACTGTAGCGAAGAGGTGTGGGGAATCATCTGCTCCCATGTTCCATATAGTGTGGTAACGGTAGCCGTGGCAATTGTCGTCACCATGGCAATGGGCTCAGGAACTCACGGAGATCCTCAAAACAGCGTTTTAGGGCGTTGTGAGCCTGCCCACTTCCCTTGACTGAGTATCCTCCTTGAACCGTCACCTTATCGTGGTGGAGGAGTTTGAGTGCCCTAATGATCCTAGGAGCTATGTTGTCTGGGGCACTTAGTGCCCCTGGTAGGGTCTCCCATGACAAATTGGTCTTAGGTGAAGGGTGAGACAAAGAACGGTTCGAAGGATCTTTCATGGCGGTTAAAACGAAGAGTCGGAGTACCCGGCCCGGAGGGTTACCGGGGTCCCACCCTGGAGCCAGGCCTGGGGTTGGGGCCCGTGAGCGAGCGCCTGGTGGCCGGGCTTTCGCCCATGGGGCCCGGCCGGGCCCAGCCCGAACGGATACATGGGCTCGTCCAACTGTGGACCCACCACCCGCAGGAGGAACATGAAGGGTCCGGTGCAATGCGAATCGGGTGGCAGACCAAGGCGGGAGCCTTGGCGGTTCAATCCCCGGACAAGAAAACTTGTTTTTGGGACATGGAACGTCACCTCGCTGGCGGGGAAGGAGCCGGAGCTTGTGGCAGAGGTTGAGCGGTACCGGCTAGATATAGTCGGACTCACCTCGACACATTGCATTGGCTCTGGAACCCGAGACCTGGAGAGGGGTTGGACACTCTACTTTGCTGGAGTTGCTCCGGGTGAGAGGCGGAGGGCTGGGGTTGGCTTTTTGTTAGCCCCGAGACTCTCTGCCTGTGTGTTGGGGTTTACCCCGGGGGACAAGAGGGTAGCTTCCTTGCGCCTTCGGGTCGGGGAACGGGTCCTGACTGTTGTTTGTGCTTATGGGCCAAATATCAGTTCAGAGTACCCACCCTTTTTGGAGTCCCTGGGATGAGTGCTAGATAGCGCTCCATCAGGGGACTCCATTGTCCTGCTGGGGGACTTCAATGCTCACGTGGGCAATGACAGCTTGACCTGGAGGGGTGTGATTGGGAGGAACGGCCCACCTAATCTGAACTCGAGCGGTGTTTTGTTATTGGACTTCTGTGCAAGCCGCAGTTTGGCCATAACGAACACCATGTTCGAACATAAGGATGCCCACCGGTACACTTGGTACCAGGGCAGCCTAGGTCACAGGTCGATGATAGATTTTGTAGTCGTATCATCTGACCTGCGGCCGTATGTTTTGGACACCCGAGTGAAGAGAGGGGCGGAGCTGTCAACTGATCACCACCTGGTGGTGAGTTGGATCAGATGGCAAGGGAACATGCCGCGTAGACCTGGCAGACCCAAACGCATAGTGAGGGTCTGCTGGGAACGCCTGGCAGAAGAACCTGTCAAGACGGTCTTCAATTCCCACCTCCGGCAGAGCTTTGACCACGTCCCGAGAGCAGTGGGGGACATTGAGTCCGAGTGGGCCTTGTTCCACTCTGCGATTGTCGAGGCGGCTGTTGCTAGCTGTGGTCGTAAGGTGGCCGGTGCCAGTCGTGGTGGCAACCCCCGTACCCGCTGGTGGACACCAGAGGTTCGGGGAGCCGTCAGGCTGAAGAAGGAGGCCTACAGGGCGTGGCTGGTCTGTGGGTCTCCGGAGGCAGCAGACAGGTACCGGATAGCCAAGCGGGGTGCAGCAGTGGCAGTTGCCGAGGCAAAATCTCGGGCGTGGGAGGAGTTTGGTGAGGCCATGGAGAAAGACTATGGATCGGCTCCAAAGAGGTTCTGGCAAACTGTCCGGCGCCTCAGGAGAGGAAGGCAGCAACTCGCTCACACTGTTTACAGTGGGGATGGGGAGCTGCTGACGTCAACTGAGGCTATAGTCGGACGGTGGAAGGAATACTTTGAGGAGCTCCTCAATCCCACCAATGCGCATTCCGAGGAGGAACCAGAGCTGGGAGGCCTGGGGATGGACTGTCCGATCTCGGGGGCAGAAGTTGCTGAGGTAGTCAAACAACTACACAGCGGCGGAGCCCCGGGGGCGGATGAGGTTCGTCCTGGGTATCTCAAGGCTATGGATGTTGTAGGGCTGTCATGGTTGACACGTCTCTACAACATTGCGTGGTCATCGGAGCCAGTTCCTAGGGAGTGGCAGACCGGGGTGGTGGTCCCCATCTTTAAGAAGGGTGACCTGAGGGTGTGTTCCAACTATAGGGGGATCACACTCCTCAGCCTCCCTGGAAAGGTCTACGCCAAGGTACTGGAGAGGAGGGTCCGATCGATAGTTGAATCTCAGATAGAGGAGGAGCAATGTGGTTTTCGTCCTGGCCGTGGAACTGTGGACCAGCTCTATACCCTTGCAAGGGTGATGGAGGGGGCATGGGAGTTTGCCCAACCAATCCACATGTGCTTTGTGGATTTGGAGAAGGCTTATGACCGTGTCCCCAGGGGCACCCTGTGGGGGACGCTCCAGGAGTATGGGGTGGGTGGCTTTCTGTTAAGGGCCATTCAGTCCCTTTACCAGAGGAGCGTGAGTTTGGTCCGCATAGCCGGTAGTAAGTCGGACCTGGTCCCAGTGAGGGTTGGACTCCGCCAGGGCTGCCCTTTGTCACCGGTTCTGTTCATCACTTTTATGGACAGAATTTCTAGACGCAGCCGTGGTGTGGAGTGTGTCGAGTTTGGTGGCAGGAGAATCTCGTCTCTGCTTTTTGCGGATGATGTGGTCCTCCTAACTTCATCCAGCTCTGACCTTCAGCTCTTGCTGGGTAGGTTCGCGGCCGAATGTGAAGCGGCTGGGATGAGGATCAGCACCTCCAAATCTGAGACCATGGTTCTCGACCGGAAAAGGGTGGCTTGCCACCTCCAGGTCGGGGGAGAGGTCCTACCTCAAGTGGAGGAGTTTAAGTATCTCGGGGTCTTGTTCACGAGTGAGGGTAGGAGGGATCGGGAGATCGACAGGCGGATTGGTTCGGCGTCTGCAGTGATGCGGACGCTGAGCCGATCTGTCGTGGGGAAGAGGGAGCTGAGCCAGAAAGCCAGGCTCTCGATTTACCGGTCGATCTACGTCCCAATCCTCACCTATGGTCTTGAGCTTTGGGTAATGACCGAAAGAACGAGATCGCGGATACAAGCGGCCGAAATGAGTTTCCTCCGTAGGGTGGCCGGGCTCAGCCTTAGAGATAGGGTGAGGAGCTCGGACATTCGGGAGGGACTCGGAGTAGAACCGCTGCTCCTCCGGATCGAAAGGAGCCAGTTGAGGTGGTTTGGGCATCTGGTCAGGATGCCTCCTGGACGCCTCCCCGGGGAGGTGTTTCGGGCATGTCCTGCCGGCAGAAGGCCCCCGGGTCGACCCAGGACACGTTGGAGAGGTTACATCTCCAATCTGGTCCGGGAACGCCTTGGGGTCCTGCCGGAGGAGCTGGTGGCCAAGGCCGGGGAGAGGACGGCCTGGAGCTCCCTAATTGGGATGCTGCCCCCGCGACCTGGACCCGGATAAGCGGAGGAAGACGAAGACGAAGACGAAGCATCTACTTCTAAGAACAGTTACAGGATCATTTGGTTCAAACTTCAGAGACTCATCTTAGGTAAACCCTAATAGCTTCTTCTGTGACCTTTTAGGTGGGGAGGTGAGAGTAAAACATCTGGACTGGCTCCAGCACAGCCTTTGTACAGGTACACACACATGCACACACAGTGTGGAGTTCCTCTGGGCGTGGTGCTTGGTCCAGCACTCTTTACTTTGTTTCCATTAGGTTGAATTATTAGAATCCCAAGACAAATTTCCATAGTTAAGCTGATGCCACACAGTTTAATTTATCCACAAAGCCTGATGGATTTAATCAGCCGAACTACAGGCACGTTAAAGACCTTTAAAGGTTCACGGTGTAAGAATCCTGTGGTGAACTTTGGGTACCGCATTTCAAAACAAACAAGTGACGCTCCTGCTCCCGATCCGTGAGTTCCTTGGCTGTTGCCAGTTACAAATGGCCTGCATTTGATATAGCACCTTCTAGAGTCCTGGAACCCCCCAAGGCGCTTTACAACACAATCAGTCATTCACCCATTCACACACTGGTGGGGATGAGCTACAATGTAGCCACAGCTGCCCTGGGGCGCACTGACAGAGGCGAGGCTGCCGAGCACTGGCACCACCGGTCCCTCCGACCACCACCAGCAGGCAACGTGGGTTAAGTGTCTTGCCCAAGGACACAACGACAGCGATAGACTGAGCGGGGCTCGTACCTGCATCCTTCCGATTACGGGGTGAGCACTTAACTCCTCCATCGCCCCATGGACATTGCGGATGGAGTTACGGAGAGCTCCAAGCCCAGCCCATGCAGTAACAAATCTCATCCCTTGTGTAGCATGGTTGGGTGTGGCATATGCATCCACCGTGCGTTTAGCCTCGCAAACTGCTTCACCATCAAAATTTCGGTTTGATGGTGTTTTGAACAACTGATGTTGGCCCCATTTATAGGGTGAGGGTCTGGACTCTTCCTGACATAAACGTCAACGATGCCAGCCATTCAGGACCACCGTAGGGATTTCTAAGCTTCTGAGGAGGTCACGCATAGTAAGACACTCACTCCTGCTAAATCAGACAAATGGGCTTTTACACCTATGAAGCAGTAGCTTCATTGTATTTCCTGTTTTTTTTTCTGCCAGCTGCCATCACTTGGTCTTACACCTTCATCAATCTCTCCATCAGTTCTGTGCACTAGTGTGCCTGACTGACAGTGTAGGCTGCGTAGCTTGCTGCCACCTAGAACATAGTTTGGCAAGACTCTAATACTAAAAGTCACCTTGCCCACCAGTTGAGAAGCACTGAACTAGTCGATGCATTTATTAAATTCAGGCTTGATTATTGTAGTTCTCGATGATCAGGACATCCTAAAGGTTAAGCTGATGCTGCAGCCTGAGTTCTGATTAAAGGTCTAATCTCTCCAGTTTTAGCAGCACTTCATCGGCTTGCTCCAAGTTCCAGAACTGAATTTAATACTTGTAAAGCTCTGAAAGATCAAACTCCTTCTCCTTTTTCCAGATGTTGCCAGCTGAGCACCTGCTCCCAGGTTTGGTCATTAACACATCTGCTTGTCTTCGTAGACGCTGGTGTGGAGTTTAGTTGGACAGAGGAAGAAGTGGCCGATCTGTATGACAACACCAGATTCATCGTGGCTGCAGATGGTGGGATAGCTGGTGTTGTTGCCGTATCCTTCTGCTATTCCATCAGAATGTCTTTACCTACCTAGTTATCAGTTGGTTGGGGGAAGCTCTGATCCAATCAGATGATTTTCAATGGATGGAAATCAGGTGGAAAAGGTTGAATTTATTCCCATAAAACAACAAACACGACTTTTTAAACTCATCATGAGATAGAGATTTTCAAACAGAACAATAAAGGCTTAGTTTTAAAATCAACAAGTTCCTCTACATCAGGGGTCTCAAATGTGTCGCTCGCCTGGAAGCAGCCAGCAAGCCGCCCTGCCTGTGATTAACCAGGGACGGCTTTTAAATTTGATGGCAAGCCGTCCCCATTTCTCGTAATATCTAATGTAAAATTAGCATTTTGTGGAAGTAAAATAAAAATCAGCTTATTGCACAAATCTTTAGGCAAACGTGTTCTACTGGAAATACACAGAATGGATTAATTGCTCAGATTGCAGCACAGATCCCTGTTTCTGGTCTCAGCAGCTGCAGGTGGACGGGGTGATGTTGGTTATACAGACCCGGTTTCAGAAAAACATCCTCAGTGAAATATTCTGGGCGACATCAAAGTCCTCTCTGCGGTAAAACCTCTTCAACACATATCTCCCTCTCTCTCTCTGTGTTGCACACAGCCATCAGACCCACGGATCAGCTGATCCAGAGGCAGAGAAATAGGATAAATACATTTGTCAACTAAAACACAGCAAAGCATCATTTTACCTGCAGTTATTGAACTTAAAGCGCATCTTTAATGTTCCTTAAAATGGTAGAAAAGCATCATCTAAGGTCAAGAAGTTATTTTGGTTACCCTTCCTGGTCTCCAGATAACTAGCAGGTGTTTAAAAATACTCAGTCAAGGGAAGTGGGCAGGCTTCCCTAAGAAACTAGCGGTTTCGGAGTCACGTGACTCATTAAGTACCTCAGGGAAACCTTAGAGGAAGACGGGTTATTTTAGTTACTGAGGTAACACCGATTCAACTAGTTTAACGATGGTTAATGTTTGTGTATGTTGGGCTTGTACCAACTCCCGTTTGTCCGGACATCGTGTTCGTCGATTTCCACAACAGAAAATGAGCGTGAGAATCGTAGAGATCAGACCACATAAACATAGAGGCGACATGGGCTGGGGTTTTCTATCGGCGCTGCTGTAACTGCAGGCCGCCAGTCAGCTTAATTCTTGTAGAATTTCTTTCACCTTATTTTAATGAGAACATTTGTCTCTCCTTAAGTTTGTCTTGAGTTAATTAGTCGTTATTTTACTTTGCTCCCCTCTTATTCTTTTCTTGTAAAGTTTGAATGAATGTGTCTGACACATTGAGGTTCTTCTTTGCTCTAATTTAATAACTTGTTGGAGGTGCGACTTTCTTCAAAGAATTGTACTTTTGTATTTTAATGGAATTCTGTTGTTTCCTTTTTCTCAATAAAAAAAAAGACAAAAACAAAAAAACAACTGCAGGCCGCCATGTTGGAAGGGTCACCAGTCCCCTCCAGTGCATTCATTGGGCTAGATAAGTCGAGTAATCCCGCATACGTACGCCGGTTGTTGAAACCGTAGATCACACAAAAACAGGCATAGCTGCTCACTCAGCGTAGAGTCCAATTAGGTTGTTGGGGAGTGAGGGACCCATCCAATATGGCGGCGAAGTGGTTACACTCCAGCTCTCATTGTTGCCTCTACGTATTTGGTGTTTGTTTCATCTCGTTCCCATCTCTTGTGGCAACTAGCTGTTTGTTTCATAAAAATAGTACATTCATGCTTAATTTCTTATCCCTGTTTGGCCTGTTCCCATCTACTCCTGCTGCTGGCTCAAAACTATGGCTGTATTACACTTGAACGTATATTCCTGTTAGGAATCTGGAGCTCTGAGTTGCTGCTGCAAATCCTTTTTTTCTGAGCAGAGTCAGGAGCGTTTTCCTTCAGCGACGTTCCAGAAAGAGGCACTGTTTTTAGACGGAGGAGCTAGGAGCGCCTAGTTGGAACAGTAGCACATTTTATTTTCAAGGATCTTCCTTTTTAAAATGGAAATATAAAGTTTAGACCTGTTACAATATAAAGGCTTCAACATTTGTTTAACATGGCAGGAAAGCAGGAAGAAATGTTGTTTCTGTTTTTATATATTTTTGTACTTCAGTTCAAACTATTTAGAAATGTGTGTTTTCATCACATTTAGCTTGTATTTTATTTAAATATCTTCAGCTTTATTCATTAGTGGGAAGTTTTGTGTTGAATGTTTGGAAAAATAATCATAACAGCAATTACTTGAAAGGTTTTGCACTAAAAGCCATTTAAAGAACATGAAATGTTCATTAAATGGCTGTAGCGTGAACCTTCATCACGTTACAAAGGCATTCTGTAGTTTTTGGAAGCGTTTGTTTGTTTGTGACTAAGTAGCTGAACAACAAACATATCAAATCATTCACATGATGTAGTTTCATACTCATTATCTGGTTAGTTAATAAACAAAATGAGTTTGATTTGCAGAATGTCACCATTTTCCTTGTAGCTTTTTTATAACATTGATGTGTAGAAACACAGAGAAGTCATGGACCCATCCCAGTAACACCAGTCTGCGTGTTTCTGTTACCAGTTTGCTATGATGATGATCTGACCGATGGCCTCTTCAGAACTCTCTACCGACTCTGCAGCAGTTTCACTCACAGCTGCACAATCTTCATTTCTTTAGAGAAAAGGTCAGTTAAAGTCCTGAGTTACCAGTTGATCAGTGAAATGTGGTGTTGTTTCAGAGGTCTGCTCGTGAGTAGTGACAAAACCAAAAGAGATGTAGACGCTGGTGACAAACTCCACATCTGTTAGGCATCAACACTAGTAATGACGAGATGATGGTGGACACAGACGGCGCCGTGGAGCTCTGCTGTCATCGTAGGAGATCACACACTGAGTCTGTATGGTGTTTAGGCTGCGTCTCCTTCATTAACACACATCCAGCTCCATCCCAGGGTCATGCTCATCCGGATTCTGTCCCATTCATCCCACTGAGGGTGCTCTGGTTAAAACCTCCACGGCAGCTGGTTCCTCTTATTTTGTTGAATCGTGGACAGTGTTTACGGCTTTGCTGCACATGTGTGAGATGTGTTCAGTGGCTGAGACTTCTGTGCCTGAGCAGGATGAACTTCACTCTGAGACACATGGACGTGACGTGCCAGGCCTACAACCACTTCAGACGCTGTCTGTCCCAGCTGCAGGACCTGAGTGACGGACGGTGCGTCTTCAGGGTGGAACAGGTTCCTCTAAGCTTCTCTCAGTTCCTGCTGTACGAACGCATCGAGCAGCTGGTGAGTCCAACATGATCACGCTCCCCTCTAACTAACACGGGTTAGCTGTAACGGCTTCAGGTGTTTGATGCAATGGAGCGTTTTGGATTATCACCTCGTAAGAGGGTGGGTGTGTGTGTGCGTGCGTGCGAGAGTTCATGCTGTTATGTAGCTCGGCTGGGCTCCCTTCACATCACGGTTTCTCTTCATTGTTCTGCAGGAGCTGTGGAAGCTGAGTGCTGCTCTTCTCCCATTGGTGGATGTCCAGTTGGATTCTGACTTGCTCTCCTCCTGACCAGATTCATCCCGTCATATTTCACTAGATTATAGTGTACAGGGAAAAGGAGAAGCCAGTTTTTCACCTGCTGCATGATATGTTCTCCTCTGCTGTGTCTTCTCGCCCACAGAGGAGATTCTGAAGGATGTTGTAGGTTCCTGTCTCAGGAACCACAGGTCAGACCCTGGAACGTAGAATGGGTCTTAAAGGATCTGCATCTGCTGTGTGGAACGACACCGATAAACATTAAAGCAGCACTACACAGTGTGTTCACTTAAAGGGTTGAAAGGTTAAGGTCCAGTCTCCTAGTAGCGGTTCAGATCATCTCTAACGTGCCGAACAACGGAAGAGTTCACTGATTTATTTACTTATTTATAGGGATGCAAACAATTAAAAGGAGAACATCTACATGAAACGGGCTAAAGCGTGATTGTCTCAGCTGATTTTGGTAACGAAACGTTTTACTCTGGTTACCATTAAGGGAATTTTAAAGGGCCTGTGTGGAGGGTGAAGCCATCTTTTAAGCCAAGCTGCTTGTTGTCGTAGTTTGTTTTAACATTTGGACTTTGTCCAACAACAGTTGATGTTTTACCATGTAAACTTTACGCTGTCAAACTGATGCAGCAAACTTACTGAAACAAACTTTTACCAGTCTTAATTCTTCAAAGCCGAATGTAAATGCAGCTTTTTATGTGTGTGTGTGTCATACCATATAATACCAATCCCCCCCACTCCCGTACACACTTAGGAACATCAGTAAAAATGAAAATTGGCTGAATTCAGATGAGCCAGATATGTTAGGGTAAAGAACACACCACTAGAGGAGCCATCTGCCCCGGCGGCAGGCCACCTGCAGCAGCCGAGGTACTTAACAATGGGCGCAAAGGGAAGGCATGGACCTCACCACCACCCGAAGGCAGAGAGCCCCCGCGGAGGAAACACTGGAAGAAAGATTAATATAAAATAACGACCTAATATAATAGTAAATGTAAGTAACTTCAGTTTATTTATAAAGTGCTAAATCACAACCAGAGTCATCTCAAGGCACTGTCTAAAGTATATAAGACACTGTCCAAAATAGATGATAGAATAGCAATCCCTATTGAAAAATGGGAGGTGGATCTATCAGTCAGCTTTGACCAGAACTTCTGGTCCCAAACTTGTTTAAAAACGTGTAAAATGATCAGACACTCCAATTTACAATTAATTCAGTACGAAATTCTACACACTATACAGGTCATCGGATGTTCAAGATGGGGTTTGTGTCGTCTGACACCTGTACACACTGCACAAACAACATTCCTGACAATTACATTCATGCACTGTGGTCCTGTCCACCTGTCCAGGAATTTTGGGGTAGAGTATGTGAAGACCTGTCAAAGTCTCTGAAATGTCATATCCCAACCACCCCCTCTCTTTGTTTACTGGGAAACCTGGATGATGTCCCGATTGAAACATCTTTGGTTCACGTGGTTCTGACTGCCATATGCATCGCTAAGAAAACTATCCTATTGAATTGGAAAAATAGAGATACTCTTTGCATTAACCAGTATAGAAATCTTTTGTTAGATCATATTACACTTGATTTAGCCTCTGCTTCCACTTCAAATCAATCTCTCTGAGCTCCTTTGATCAGTTCCATCACATAGCGATGATGGGGGATCATTGATATTGTCCTGCGGGGTGATGGGGTGGAGGGCCTGAGTTTGGAGTATCCGGATGTTCCCTGGAGGTGGGTTCACTGGGGGGTGTATGGGACTGGGGGGCTGCTGCCCCCCTCTGGAGTTGCTTGGGTTGCCTCGGGGGGTGGACTACTGGCAGTTTTGAGTGGGGCCCCGTAGGGGTCGTGGCAGTGGCCATGGGTCCATGCCCTGGGTGGCAGCTCCATTGCCCCTGAGCAGGTCTGTGTGGGGTCCTGGGGTCTCGGGATGTGGGGGTGGCCGGCGCAGTGTGGGGATCTGGGCGGGGCCTTGGGGGTCGGGTCCTGACATGTATGCTGCCGGGAAGAAGGTGGGAACATGCGGCAGTGCCTGACCCGGGCTCAGGGCCCTCGGGTAGACCTTGGCTCCTTTGCTGTCCCATCACAAGAGACGGGGATGTCCAGGAGGGAGAGGACCCAACCTTATTTGGATGTCCTATGTCTTATATATTCTGGAAGCTGTGCAAATGCAAGGATGGGAGTAGATATTCTGCTGGGGTGGGGCTGGGTTGGTGCCCTTGGACTCCGTGAGGCTCTGTGATGCTGCTGCTTTGGGCCCTGGCAAGATGGGCTAGGGTCTCCATGCTCTGGGTGCCATTTTGGCAACAGAGGTGCCTATTGGGGCCATTGGGGGAGCTGGCTCCCTGGAGGGCTTAAGTCCAACCAGCCATTCCTCCCCATCCCCACACATTTTTCTCCTCCTGCTCCCTCACATTATCACACAATCATGCATACAGGTGCTGGCCAGTAAATTAGAATATCATCAAAAGGTTGAAAATATTTCAGTAATTCCATTCAAAACGTGAAACTTGTACATTATATTCATGCAATGCACACAGACCAATGTATTTCCAATGTTCATTACATTTAAATTTGATATTCATAAGTGACAACTAATGAAAACTCCAAATTTGGTATCTCAAAAAATTAGAATATTCTGAAAAGGCTGAATATAGAAGACACCTGCTGCCACTCTAATCAGCTGATTTACTCAAAACACCTGCAAAGGCCTTTAAAAGGTCCCTCAGTCTTGTTTTGAAGGCACCACAATCATGGGGAAGACATCTGACTTAACAGCTGTCCAAAAGACAATCATTGACACCTTGCACAAGGAGGGCAAGACACAAAAGGTGATTGCTAAAGAAGCTGGCTGTTCGCAGAGCTCTGTGTCCAAGCACATTAACAGACAGGCGAAGGGACGGAAACAATGTGGTAGAAAAAAGTGTACAAGCTCTAGGGATAACCGCACCCTGCAGAGAATTGTGACGACAAACCCATTCAAAAATGTGGGGGAGATCCACAAAGAGTGGACTGCAGCTGGAGTCAGCGCTTCAAGAACCACCACGAGGAGACTCATGAAAGACATGGGATTCAGGTGTCGCATTCCGTGTGTCAAGCCACTCTTGAACAAGAAACAGCGCAAGAAGCGTCTCGCCTGGGCCAAGGACAAAAAGGACTGGACTGATGCTGAGTGGTCCAAAGTTATGTTTTCTGATGAAAGCAAGTTCTGCATTTCCTTTGGAAATCAAGGACCCAGAGTCTGGAGGAAGAGCGGAGAAGCACAGAATCCACGTTGCATGAGGTCCAGTGTAAAGTTTCCACCGTCAGTGATGGTGTGGGGTGCCATGTCATCTGCCGGTGTTGGCCCACTCTGTTTCCTGAGGTCCAGGGTCAATGCAGCCGTCTACCAGGAAGTTTTAGAGCACTTCATGCTTCCTGCTGCTGACCAACTTTATGGGGATGCAGACTTCACCTTTCAACAGGACTTGGCACCTGCACACAGTGCCAAAACCACCAGCACCTGGTTCAAGGACCATGGTATCCCTGTCCTTGATTGGCCCGCAAACTCGCCTGACCTTAACCCCATAGAAAATCTATGGGGTATTGTGAAGCGGAGGATGCAATACGCTAGACCCAACAATGCAGAGGAGCTGAAGACGACTATCAGAGCAACCTGGGCTCTCATAACACCTGAGCAGTGCCACAGACTGATCGAGTCCATGCCACGCCGCATTACTGCAGTTATTGAGGCAAAAGGAGCCCCGACTAAGTATTGAGTGCTATACATGCACATTCTTTTCATGTTCATTCTTTTCAGTTGGCCAACATTAGAGAAACAAACATTTTTTCATTGGCCTTTAGAATATTCTAATTTTCTGAGATACCAGATTTGATGTTTTCATTGGTTGTCACCTATAAATATCAAAATTAAACGTAATAAACATTGGAAATACATTGGTCTGTGTGCATTGCATGAATATAATGTACAAGTTTCACGTTTTGAATGGAATTACTGAAATATTTTCAACCTTTTGATGATATTCTAATTTACTGGCCAGCACCTGTATAGGACCTTGGGGGGTGGACAAGTCAGGGGGTGTGGGTATGGACCCCATTTCCGCATTCCTGTGGCAACCTGTCCCCCAATTTTATTTACACCCTAATGAATTCTGCCAACAACATGCCATGCAAATACACACTTAGGGCCTTGGGAGTGAGCACATTCAACGACATTTGGCAGGGGGATTTTTCAGCCTTGTTCCGAGTGCCGGTGCCCACTTCCAATTTTAAACTGCACTTAGACACTGAGGGCTGTGGGTGCAAGTGGGGTTGTGTGGTGGCAGCTGGCGTAGGCCAGACGATGCCCGCACTGCCCGCTCACCACAGCCATGGAATACACCTCATCAACACTCACTAACACTTTATTGGAGCAGGCGGAGGGAGACCAGGGGTCTTAGCACACCTCTGTTGTCGCTTGGCTTCCCGGGGCTGGAGGCTAGGAGGGAGATCCGGACGTCCGGTTGGGGTCTGGGGTGGTGGGTTGGTTTGCTCAGCGTTGGGCGGGGCAGCCTGCTTATCAGCACCTCAGCAGAAAGGGTCGAACTCTAGGAACCGGTAATGGTTGTACCCCTTGTGCAGTAGTACTGTGACCAGAGTGAATAGGTTATGTGTGGGGAGCATGAGTGGGTGTCCGGCGTGCATTTTTGTAAGTCTTTGGTTGTATGTGTATGTGTGAGCATGAGGGAGGGAGTGTGTGTCTGTGTATGACTGTATATGTCAGGTGGGGCCTTTGACTCCTCCCTTCTCCTGGGACTTATTTTGATGCTATACATTTTCGTCTCCCCTCCCCCTGCCACACCTGGTGTGGAGTGTGGTCTCTTGGTCTGCCTATCAGGATCTGCTCTGGAGTGGTTCTCCTCTTATCTCTCTGAGCACTCCTTTTCTGTGGCCGTCTCCAAGTTTAGGTCCTCCACCACCTCCCTTACCCATGGTGTCCCACAAGGTTCTGTGCTGGGGCCGCTACTCTTCCTCCTCTATCTGCTTCCTCTTCAGCACATCCTGAGCTCCTTCAAAGGAATCTCCTACCATCTTTATGCAGATGACATCCAACTGTACATCTCCTTTAATCCCCATGAGATGTCTAAGCTGCAGCTGTTACACACCTGCTTAGACTCTATCAAAACCTGGATGGCTGGGAGCTTTCTTCAGCTGAATGAAGATAAGACTGAGATCCTCATCTGTGCCCCAGACAAGCTGGTTCCCAAAGTCAGAGACTCTTGGTCAGCTTGCTTCCCACACCAAACCTTCCATCAGGAATCTTGGCGTGACCTTTGACCCAGCTCTCACCCTGGATTCTCATGTCAGTTCTCTTGTTGGCTCTTCCTTCTTCCATCTCAGGAACATTGCTAAGCTGAGTCCCATTCTGTCTCGCTCTGAAC